TCAGACAACGTGGCTGATGCACTTATCATCATAACATTCTGAAGCTCTCTCTCTCTCTCTCTCTCTCTCTCTCTCTCTCTCTCTTTAAAAGTGGCAACGGCCAAAGGGAATGAGAAGAAGAAGAAGAAGAAAAAAGGACCAAACAAGGAGAAAGAACAGAAAAAATTTTCTCTAGTCCAAACATCAACTCCAAAGAAGAGAAACAAGATGGAGAAATCCCCCCCAATCATCGAGGGAAACCCATCTTTTGTATCCCAATATCGTATAGTCAAATAAAATATCAGTGGACGTAGGCCTTATTCATTTCTAGGTCAAACCATTTTAAAAATGTCTAGTTTTCACGCCTTCCTTCGGGAGGCGCATTACCACCTTGGCCATCACCGCATGCAAGTCAAGTCTTCTTTGTTGGTTTTGATGAGTGCTTGAAAGTGCACTTAAACTTTTTGATTTTAAGGTTATGTTGTGTGGGAATTAGGTTTAATTTGCTAATTTTACTTAATTTCGATACTTCTTTTGTTTTCTAGAATCACACATATGTTTTATGAATTTTCAGACATTTAGGTACTGAAAAATGAGGATTTCGAGCATGCACGTTGAAGAGTAAAGAATCATGCAAGAATAAACGGTTTGAGAATCGGAGCTCAAACGAAGAAGCTATGAATATTTAAAGATTGTTCACGGTAGAGGATTTTTGTGCCACGGCGTGCATGAACATGCAGCATGAAAATGGATGTAACTTGAGTTACACAACTCCGATTGACTTGATTTTGGTGGTGTTTGAAAAATAAGAGACAAAGATATAACTTTCATGGTTGTGATCTAGTTCAACATGGAAGATGGTTAAAAATGGATCTAAAAGTTGCATCAGTGCATGGAAGACAAGCAAACACACATTCTAGAACATGCCTTAGTGTTGCTAAATAACTTGAGCTAAAGACCTCAGATTGTGATTATTCTTGGACCATTGGAAATCTAATTCGAATATCTACTATTAATGTGCTCATGTCTTCGTCATATTCAGAATTTTGCATGCTAAAATGTGGAAGTCTTTCGGCACACAATTCTAACAGCAACTGTTAACGAGAAACAAACAAAAAATGGTAAATTTGCGAAGCTACCATAAATTTCTCAGTACAAACTGGGAGCTTTTACACATATTTTTGTAAAGCTTTGGAAGTATAGTTTATGTAGAATTTTACAATTCATATTCTGAGCTTTCTAGAGGAAGATATTCTAGTTTTAGTACCAAAGGGTTGGCATAGGAATCCTAATTCTACAAGGACTCTATTTGAGATTAATCCGAATTTTATTCTCCTATTTTGTATAGGATTTTTCCCATTACTTTCCCACAACCCTAGCACTATAATAGGATGTCTTTAGGTATTTTTTGGAGAGACTTCAACTTTGAGAGAAGCAAGTAGAGGAGATCTTACTTATGGTTTTCATCTTTTCTCTTGTACTTCATGTTTTTGAAGGTTTTGAGGTTTGATTTCTCTATATTTATGTGTAACTAATTTCCTTTTTAAGGATTCGATGTAACCTAGCATGAAGGTTTTATGCTTTGTTTAATTTTATTATTCTATTGATTTAATATATTTCTAGTTTCATTTATTATACTTATTTCAATCTTAATGTTTTGTATGAAATAAGTATGCTAAATATCATATGCTAACTTTGAAATACAAAACAATTGATGGTTTGAGACAAGGTAAGGTAAACATCATATGCAAACCTTGAATAACTCTTTTGAATGATTGGATTGTGTTGAGGCAAACATCAAGCTAGATACAATTTGGTTCATATTTTGAGTACTTCTTGTTCTTAATGGATTCTTGATTGTTAGGTTTTACTAAACATCCTAGTGAGTTTAATGGTTAAGAATATTTGGTTAAACCCGAACATCAAACGATAATATCATAATGATGGAAGACTGAACCCTAGGAATTGGATTGGGATGACAATAAATAATTAGTAGAGAATCGGATTGTTATGGTGAAATTGGATACCTAGGTTTTTCTTGCATTGGTTTTCAGTTAAGTTTTAATTGTGTTATTTAATTCAGTTGGTTAAGAATTTATTTTGCTTTCTTAGTAATTAGTTCCATTTCTTTTGTTTACAGTTTTGTTTATTTTATTTGTTTAATTAAGGCATTGTATATTAGGATTAATTGAGTGCTTACAAATCTTTATGGGATGGACCCTTGCTTTTGCACACTATACTGTGCTATCGATTCATGCACTTGCGAGGAATTAAAATTGTTCATCAGGTTCCCAGAAATCACACACCCATCCTACTTGGTTCTCCCCAGAGTCAACCAAGTATCTCTGGTTGATGTGTGTCTTCATCTCGACGCTTTAGTTAGTGCAGAAATTCGCATTAGCACTAGATCTTCAATACATGACATCACTATTTTAAAACCTGGCCTGGCTCGGCTTGGCCAGTTTAACCGATCAGGAGCTTCACCCGACCGGGTTAACAATTTCTCTATTCACCCAAAACCCTAGAATTTGGGATGATGATCGGTGAACAAGTGAAGGCTGGGATGTTGGGGCTTTTGAAGAGAAAGTGTTGGTGAATGCAATGGTGGCAATGAAGTTGATTTCCGGTGAGTGCAACAACCAAATTTTTTTTTTTTAAAAAAAAAAAAAATAAGGCAACAGCAATAGCCTGCTTTTGCCGGCGATTGGCGAGGTTAATGGTGATGGGGTGAGGTGGGTTTGGTTCAGAGGAAGAGGGGAGTATTTTCGGGGTAATGAGGGAGGGTTGTCGATGTCGGCCTCAGTGAGATCTGGCCTAGAATGTCGATGTTGATAAGATCTGACCTAGAATATCGACGCCAGTATCGCTATTGATTTCAACCAAATCTTGGTTAGATTTTCTAGGGAATTGGCTCAAGAGATGATTGGGATTGCATTTGGGGTGTCGTCGTCGCCAACCAGTTGCCAGCCGATTTGTATTTGAGGTGTGTTTTCTAAATTTCAAACTTGTAGGGACTTAACTTAATTTTTAGGGGTGTATTTGCTGAATTTAAAAGTCTTGTCACCCGGTTAAACCAGTTAACTCGAGACCTAGCAACTTTGTCGAGTTTCACCCCAGATTGGTTATTAAAACGTTGTATGACATGTCATATCACTGCCATTAATGAATTTTTTAATCAATCACTTTTCTTTGAAAACAACATTACTCTCTTTTTGACTTGTTACCCTTGGTTTATTTCTTGGAAAACATCACTCTTTTTTTTACCTTATTACCCTTAGTTTATGATAGTAAACCCGGAAATATACAAAGGTTTTTTTGTCATTCAGATACGATGATGTCATTGGTCCAGCCCACCAATGGGACTGGTTGGACTAATCAACCCGAGACCCAAGCCTTTGACAGAGTCAAGGCCCAGGCTGGGGCACTTCCAAGTTTTGACAAATTAATATTTTCATCCCAACATATAGATTCTATCGGTAAAAATATTATTGTTTAAGGGAAAAACAAAAAAGATATTTCGAATAAATATCTAACCATATTTCATATTTAGAAAACAAAAAAAGTAACAATTTTGCAAACCAATAATTGTTTGGGCAAACAATCACTCGTTTAGTAAAAATAGACAATCAATTAAAACTTTCAGTCGCTCGTCCAAAATTGTCAATTATTTATTAAAGATAATTTTTCTAACCCTTACACTATTATATTTAACTAACAAAAACATCATTCAACTTTAATACCAAACCTCTTAATAATAAACCAAAAAGAGTGATAATATACTTGTAAAGTCTATGTCCCAAAATCATTTTATAAACTTTATAGTTAACTCCAGATTTTGACTTAGATGCATTGTTTTAAAACTCGGATCGGACTTGTTGGTCCAACTGGTTCTACCAAGACCCGGTCGCGTGTCCGATCTGGGTTAATATAAAACTCGGTTATGCTCCAAAAGCCGCTTTAACATGCCATTAAACCTGATGAACAGTGTAACTTGATAAATCGGTTTACTATTTCACAAGTAAAAAAAAGCCCTAAATCTATTCATTTTTCAGTTTCTCTACACAGCCACTCTTTGAAATCACCCCTCAATCTCAATCAACTCCACCCTCCAAAATCGATGATGCCTCCCTCCCTTGTTGGAAATTGACGATAACGCTTCCCTCCTTCCTCGACGACGACAACAATTTGAAGGTACATCTGGTTTATTTGATTCTCTTTTTATGGATTTGGAAGTATTGTTTTGATTATTTGATTGGAAGTTTTGTTTTGATTATAATGCTTGGTTTATTTGATTGGAATTTGATTTTTTCTTTTTTGGCATAATCCTCTAGATTTAGAAGTTTTGTTTTGATTATTTGATTGGAAGTTGTAGAATTATTTTACTCGAATCTGCAAGAGAAATTGAAGGTACTCAGATTATTTGTGTTTTCTCCCTCTGGTTGAATAACCCAGATTTGTCCAAACCTGAGAATAAAGGGATATAATGCTTAAATTAAAAGTTAAGGTGCCTTTTGGAATAGCATTCTGTTTCCGCATTTCAAGCATGTTGTAATCTATAAAAGTTTTTGTCATTTATAAATTTTTGGTGGAACTATAACATATAATATTATACATTGATTTGAAAGTTGAAACATGAAGACTAGTAAAAAAAAAAAACAATTGCACCAAATGTTTTGTTATTAATTATTATGTGACTATCTTTTCAATATCTTGTCATTTAATTTGTAATGGATGATCACGACATCATGTTAGGATTGTTATTAAATTTGAATCATGTCGTTGCAATAATTAAGTTGTTACTGAAAATTTGAACCTTGTTCAAAAATGAAAAATCTGAATTTTTTTGGAACTGCTTAAGTCAGCATGATGACATCATCGATCCAACCAGTTGGATCGGTCGAGACCCGGACAGCAAAACGATTGCCCTCCAGTCTCGGTTTTAAAACAATGCTTAGGCACTAACAGACGCACAAAAGAAAATGGTAAGAGTGCAAGCTGTTGCATCATATATTACAATTGCAACAGTCAGTATTCTTATTTTCTTCCAGCATGTCGTTATAATTTACCAAACAGCTAAATCCAAGAAAGCAGGATGAAAAAGGCATTCAAGTTCAACATTTGAAGCAATTGCTGGATGCAGAGAAAAAAGGTGCCTAAAACAAGATATAGAGGTGCCTGCAAATATTTTACGGCTAGATATGATGACCCCCCATGCTACTAAACACGTACATTATTTTGCGTTAAACAGTATAGGGGTCGTACTGTCAGGTCTCGTTTCCGTCAGGTAATACACAGATACAATGCAACATTGCAAGTAATCATGGATTTGGGGGGTATGATGAATCCTAAGGTGGGGTGTCAGTGAAAGGATTTCATATTAAGTCTACATGCACATCTAACTAAATTTCTATTAATTTACACAATAGCACAGATCATGAAGACCCGATGAGTTTCATGATTTTAAGAAAAACTCCATGCCGAGGTTGGATAAGTACTGGTTGATGGCTTTGCCTGAAAAACCCAATACACAACAGCCTCTTTAAGGACCCTGTCACCCGTGAGTTTTGAGGGTAGCTTACTGCCGAGGTACTGGAGGCGTTGAAGGCTGGCTCTGCCCATAAAATCCAATGCCTGGCGGCCGATAATATCCTCCTCCAGCTGGTTGCTGCTGCTGCTGTTGCTGTTGTTGCTGCTGCGAATGCTGGGGCTGTGGCTGTGGCTGAGGCTGTAGTGACTGGGAACCAGGTCGTCCCAAACCCATTGCAATATGTGGAGGCAGCAGAGGTGGTGGTGGTAGTGCATTTGCTCCATAACCATATGGCATGACACCAACCATCATACCAGCAGACTGAACATATTGACTAACTGGTGGATTTACGGGTGATAGAGGGGGTGGAGGAGGTGGTGGCGGAGCTGGAGCAAATGGTGATTGCATCTGGTTTGATTGGGCCATTGGTTGCATACTTGAGGATGGTACAACTGGCATATTGGTCATTGGTTGCTGTTGTAAAGAGCTAAAATAGGTTGAGTTGCCCACATCAGAATTGCTGACATCAGAAATGGCCATTGGTTTCTCAAGTTTGGGCCGTTTTTCTGGCGGGAATATGGATAAACCTGCAGTGAATCCACCAGAGTTTAAGCTACCATTCAATGAGGCAGCTTCTTCTGCAACAAGAGATGAAAGAACCGAGGTAAGCATCTGGGCAGAGGATGTAGAGGCAGCAAGCTTAGCAGCAACAGCAGCTGCCGCTGCTTTCTTGTTATCTTCTTCAGTAGCTTTCAATGGTGCAAATGAAAGGACAGGTTGGTTGAGAGAGTGAGGTGGAGCGCTGGTTGGCTGAATAGAGGGAATAATGGACTCTACCACCTTTGCAGACTCTGTTGCTGGAATATTATTGCCAGATGGAAGACCAGGAACTGGAGGAGATGTTAGCCTTTTCCTCATATCACTTGCTCGCTCAATCTGACCTCGAGCAACCTGTGCATTATAACCAACAATTATACTTCATCTCAGCAAAGCAGCCACTAAATCTTAAAGTTATTTACTCCAATCATTAATAAATACAACGAAATAGAAAAATCTTCAACATTAATAAGAAAAAAACAACAATAGAAGTATATTGGCATACTTAAAACAACCGAAAAATTCATGAGGCATAAAAAGCCAACATTTTAAAATCCCTATCTTGGGAAATGGATGTCAGGATCTAAAACATGAAAGAATATTCAACACTTCTAAATCCCAAAAAGCCAAAGGCCGCTATTGTGCGTAGGCATCTAACATACAGGTATATATATGTAGGCAGCATTTGAGCACCGAAATTTCTGTTTTCCTTCATTTTTCCTCTGTTTAGTGAGTCGTCATGCAAAATTTTGTAAGCCATGGTGTCCAATACCACTCAAAGCAAAATTCTCTTTGACTCAGAAAAACTTCCAACATAAAATGCCCCAGTTTATTTTGCTCTCTTTTTCCAAGATATATTAAAGATTACAGATTAGCAACCAGAGGCACATGTCTGACTCTAACAAGCAGTTAGTTGTCTCTTCATTAAAAAAAAAAAAAAAAAAATACACATGCTCTGTCCCTACATCACCAGCAGTCCAAATGAGACAATTTCAATCTGCAAATCCAGCCTAAACCATCTAAACCCAAGTATANATCAGCAACACTTTCTCTAATACAAATTATGCAACAATCAATAAACAATAATACTATACTTATAAAAAAATCTTATAAAGATTTTCATACAAAATAAAATGATAAAAAATAAATAGAATAATAAAACTTATTATATTCACTCTTCTATTCATTTTTTATCACATCACTTTTTATAATAATTTTTATAAAATTTCTTTGTAAATATAACATTATTCAATTAATGAACAATAGATTTGTAATATTGAACAACCACTAACTAGAACTTTCATGGAAAAGTATCGTTTGAGTATTGGAACAAAATCCTTCATATAGAATAGGGGAAGTACAACCATATACAATAATTCATTGGAAAGCAACATGTATGAATGCAATACTTATAAATCTAAAACATGTAAGGGAACAAGGATTATAGAAAGCAGATAATTTAGGCTATTTATATATATTATTTTATACATATGAGTAGTTTCCGGTACGGTCAAATATATAATATATTAACACAACTTGCTGAAGCTCATTATGTAGATATATATACATGAGAAATCACAGATTATGGTGCTCTCCAACACACGATTGAATAGAAAAAGAGGCTCATTTTCTTCACTCCGTTCATGCCTACATACTTCTACATGTTAAACAGCCTCCGGAAAGAAGGAAGAGATCAAACCCAAGAAAAAAGATACACAACAAACGATGGAGCCACCATTACCTACACCAAGAATTCCCTAACTAGAGAATCGCCGGAAAGGTTTCTTTCCGAGTAGAGCACGCAAGATGGGATGTTCTAAACAACTGCTGACACAACTGGGTATGTTGAAGGTATAACAGATATAAGATTATCTACCCGCATCGTGAGAACCACTGCTTCTACCACTCCCTTTTCCTCTCCCACTTTTACCTTTGCTAGCCGGTGGAGGTTTTGAGATACCTGCCTTGCTGCAAGCTGCGTGGGAGTCGACATCTGCTAGGCCATTCTCTAGGGCTCTGACCAGGTTCTCAAAGTAATTTTTAGTCACACTGTTGCAGTTGAAAATGAGAAGTGCGTAATCAGAAGGTTTTGACACCAAGTAATAAAATAATTCACGCAGAAAGAATAGATGTAGGGATTTTCTATTGGCCAAAATAACCTCTGTGGTGCTTTTTAAATGGAATATTTCATGTTATACTAAAACTGAAACCCAGTTCTAAGAAGAAAGAAACAAGAATAAAATAAAAAACAGTAAATGTTATTCACGATGATGGAATCAAAATTAAAACCAGTTACACATCCTTTATATGTTATAACATGAAACATTACATATCTATATGTTGGTAACATTAGCATAGTTTCAATGTGATAGGTACCTGGTCAGCCCTGCTAACTTTGTACGGAAGTCATTAAACTCTTTTGATGGGCTATCATCATTGAGGAATTGTTGTAGTTCCTTCTCCGCACATTGATGAAGCCTTTCCAAACCTGATTCCGCCTCACCTATATAGAACCAAAGGTCATTGCATAGCAAAGTAGTCAAAATAAAGCACAAAGACAATTTTCATTCAATTCCCACCACTGTTTTTAGAAATATAGATACCTTGCAAGTACTCAAAAAACTGTCTCTTAGCATGCTCATGCTCAGGTAGATAATATCCATATGCATAGGTCCATTTCAGAACTCTTCGACATTCGACTATCTGCAAATGTATATTATAAGATCGTAAGTTTAACAACACATTTAACTATTTGCGTAGTAGAAGAATGCTTTGATAAGTCACTCCCACTTTCTTAATACCAATTTCTAACCATAAATTAAAAATATTGCTAATATGTGTATCAATATTCTCAAGTGCAAATGTCCTAGTCGCTGAACTTCGGTCCACTCATCAAAAACTTCAAGAAGTCAGCACCAGAGATTGACTATATATATATATATATATATATAAAACAGATTGTTCGCTAGAGAAATAAGGACTTGGGACAGTTAATTGTGTGTGGTTCAGACCAGGTTCTGAGGAAATGACCAATGTCACAATACAAATATAGCATATGATATATGATACAGAGGCCGAAAGCCCAAAAATGCCCCAATTCTCTAAGAACTAACAGTATCTAAAACCAAAACCAAACAGTATTTAGACAAAAATTTTCAAAATTATGATCTTTTCATATTTTCTAATTCAATCGCAAGAATACAGAAAGTAATTGAAAAATAACACCTTCAATTTTTGCAGAGAAAAAGAAGCAACGGTTTGCACATGACTGATGATGAAATGCTAGATTTACCTGAAGCCAGGCCTCAATGATGAACTTCAGCTGTGATTCAGGTGTGCATTGGGTGTCACTCAGCTTCTCAAGCTGGCAAAAAACAAACATTTAGTCATTAGAAAACCCTGTGGAACAGAACATCCAAAAGTCTAAAGGGTCAAACTATTAAATAGTATAAAGGACCCATCTGATGCTCCTTGATAACAGAAACTCAACCCAATGTTCAGTAAGATGCATCCATCATGAAAATTAATGCTCCATATAAGTTTCCATTGTTTTTTCTCTTGACAAATCTCAAAATTTCTGCACAAGGCATCTCCCCATACTACCATAAACAGATGATAATAAATTCATTTTGGAGTTCAAAGATGAATACCATGAATTGGCTAAGTTTTTATTAGAGGGAAAGCAATGATATACACCAAAAACATCTATCATAGATCACTTCAATCTACAGAATAATTCCAGAATATCAGTAATTTTCAAAAGAGACAAAGACCTTTATCAGAAGTTGACACAATAACAGATGTCGGGACCACAAAAAAGGAGGAACTAATCTTGATTGTGTAGACACCTTAACAATATGAGGTTGATGATTGCAACAATTATGAAAATTAGATACTTACATGCACAGTCTGCATTTGATGTAAATCCGCTAGAGCTTTTTGCCTCGACTGTCAGATCAAAACACAGAACCGATGTTAGTTAGATAAAATTCAAATGCAAAATCAAATCCCAATACTAACAGGGAAGAAGGTGATAGACAAGGAAATTTTCACTTAATAAAAACATTGTGTAATGTACGACTCTCTAAATGTTCTAGCGAGAGGGAAGAAGGTACTAGATGAATATATTTTACTTGACCAAAATATCAGAAGTCTAACAGCCTACAAATTTACACTACTAATCGTGTAAGATCTTAAAAATAAGTCATCTTCCATATGTATAAATATTGTTTTATTTTATTCTACCAAATCTCTTGTCTATTAATAAGTTTCAATCAAAAGTGACATTGAATGGATTTTTACAATTTAACTCACAACTAAATCATGCAGGTTTGGTAAAAAAGAACACTCCCAAAGTTTCATAACTTTTGGAGCATATTCTTCTATGAAATTTCCCCCCTTCCTCCATTCCCGATAATTTTCAACTTGATATGATTACACATTTAATATAATCTGGCATCAAGTTTTAAGTATGCTACCAATAAACTATGAACACATTTGACGAACTCACACTTGTAGGATGTAACACAAATACTTAAAGTGAATTTCACAGTTTTTCAGATATCTAGTGTTTGAAAGTATTTTTCAACATTGTTTACCCAAAAAAAATTTCAACATTAAGAAAAGGAAAAGTGATTTTTAAGAAAATTTTATATGTACCTTCTTAAAACTCACTTAGATAAGAAAAACACTAGAAATGATGATTTAAAGAGCACCAACAAGATGATTTTCCAGAAAATATTTTAGAGGTTTTGAAGAAAGTACTTTTTTCAAAAGGCAATGTCTAATAAAGTGCTCCCAATCCTGAAGGCTCCCTCACTTATTTACGTATATTTGAAAAGCACTACATCAAACAACAAAAACCTTCAATACAAGAAGTGTACATGGTGGTCTTCTGTGGACCCAAGAAGTTTAGTTCTATTGTGATATACAATATGGGTAGTAATATATTTCCAGTTTAAAAATTTGCATCAAAAACACTTTATGACAAGAACAATACGTTTAGGTGTCAAGAAAACTTTGGTTGGGAGAAGTAACGGTGACAACAAAATAACTTAGAAAAAAGAGAGAAAGAGAGAGAGAGAGAGAGAGAGAGAGAGAATCAACTCATATCATAGCATAGAAACTGAATCAGGAAGAAAATTTACTTACTGATTGATTGCTCGCCCACCGTTCATAATAATGAGTGTATTTCTCCAGAGAATTCTTTGCCATCTCTCTTCTCCTCTCAGTCTCATCATACTAGAAGCAAAGATGTGAAAATTGTAGGTCAAAGAGCACAAAATCAGCCACTTTCAAATTGCTAGCTCATATTTGCAGATACGATAAGCAAATTATTAAAAAGAGATCAATATTTCTCTTACATCTCCCTGTTGCTTA